GTCAGTGGCAAATGGACAGAAAGACAGAGTCATGTGACTGGTAACAGGTCCCCACCCTCCAAGGGGGTGGCTGACACCTACGTCTGCAGTTGGGGAAGCCCCAGTAACCCGTGGCACACTGCGAGCAGTCCCGGCCAATCACGTGTGGCCGGCAGCGGCACTGGCCGCCGAAGGGCTGGCAGGTGTCTGACGAGGCCCCAGCTTCGTGGCAGGAGCATGGCACCGCGCCGTTGTTGAAGAAGGCGGAGAGCGACGCTGCCGACGTGCGGCAGAAGCGCGAGGACGTGGTGGGGCTGGCGGACCGGAAGCGGATTGGGGGGTGGGGTTAAAAGAAACAATTGGGGGGGAGGGAAAGAGGAACAAAAAACAGATTAGATTAGGGACGTCTGCCATTGAGTCTAATTTCAGCAAAACGTTGATTTAACGCACTGGGATGATTTAACGCACTGGGATGATTTAACACACCAGAATGATTCATGTTTTAATGAACCTGAATAATTCAATGATTTAATGAACCTGAATGACATATTTTCAGTGTCTGCTTTGTCACAAACAGATATTTAGTGGAAAATAACTTTCTGGTGAATGGGAAACCATTAATGTACGACTTTAAACTTACTTTATGTAAAAGCTGTTTTGGCCACAGCTACTGATGAAGTCGTAGGATTTGTCAAGGGGCTCTTCGTCAAGATAATTAGAGCTGTAACTCTCTTCTGGGACCAGCAGAACGTAATCCTGGCAGGTGGGCAATAATGCTTTTAAAAAATCCTCATTATGTACCATGAATACGATGAGTTAACTTCACTCAATACAATTAAAGAGAGGTAAGGAGCAGGCACTGATTACGGTGCGTAAGGAGCAGGCGCTGATTACGGTGCGTAAGGCCCAAAGGAGTAGAAACGCTCCAGGGATTCACCGGATTTGAACCAGCAACCTTCAGGTTGCTGGCACAGACCCCTACCCTCAGAGCCATTACTCCACCCTGGATTAAAGCGTGCAATTAATACAATTAAAACTTAACAACAATTCAAATGACTATTAGTTAGTGTTACCAAGCTGTAAATTGATTGGATTTGGAGTCTATATTTGAACCTTACAAACACACTACATCTTAGACACCTGAAATTGACATTAATTATCCTTAACGAGCCCAATAATGATCCGGAGCCCAAGCGCCTCCTACCAGCCACAGCGTCTTGCCGATGGGCACTTGCACGGTGAGGAAGACGTCGTTGTCGGTCACGTCTAGGATGATCTGGTTCTCGGCGACCATGATGCTGCGGCAGCCATAGGCGTGGGGGCAGAACGTGGCGTTGGCGTGCCCTGGAAAGGCACAGCGGGCGGTTAGCGCGCGGCGGCGAGTCTGGGGGGGCTGGAGGGGCTGCAGGGCTGCTTCCGCTCACCTTGCCAGACGCGGCCGCCGTTGAGGAAGACCTGGAGCGTGAAGGTGGCATACAGGGGCTGGTGGTGGTGCAGGATGACGACGTAGCGGCCCAGGGTCAGCACTCGAGTGGAGTAGGTCACTGCATTCTAACCAGGTGGGGGGGGTAGGAGATATCAGGTTAGCAAAGAAAGCAAACAGACTCCCTGGGGGGTCTGCTGGGAGGATTCCTATCTGTGTAAAGGAATGAGATGCACGGGAACACACATGTGAACATGTGATGGCCATCAGGGGTGTGTGTGGGGGTGGGGGGAGGTCATACCTGGGAGGAGTCCAGCCGAACATGCTCCGTTTCGTCCGCTGCAGTGGGTGGGCCTTCACTTGACACAAAGTGGGCGGAGTCTGCTGCAGGGGGCAGGGCCTCGGGTGGCTGTGCCAGGACCTGCTCTGGGACTGACGACGGCTGGCCCTCCTTGAGCACCAGGGAGCGGGAGGGGGTCTGGAAGCGGGACGGGACGCAGGCCTCTCTGGGTGGGGAGGAGGGGGGTGTCGGTTAATTCACCATACTGGGTTCGCGGGTCTGACGACTGACCACGGTCCGGGCGGCTTTTACCTGCCGGGGGAGAAGGAGCCGTGGGAACTGATGCAGAACACTGAGGGCTCCAGGAACTCCATGGTGAAGCTCTCACGGGGGATCAGGTGGACCTTGTGCTGTGGAGACCAACCGCGAACAGATACACTCCTCAGAAAATCCCCATATATCCCCTAAAACACCCTCAATCTGAAGGCTGCAGACGGAGTTAAAAGTCTCTCTTAAAATAACTAAAACATAAATGCAAGTAAATAAATCAGCTGCTTCTTATGGTAGAACGTTCCCTTCAGGTACAACTATTATTACTATATTAATGATGCTGGTGTCTTCAGAACGAGTCGTGCGCGTGAATAAATGTAAACAGGGCGCCCCCTGCAGGCGAGGGGGCGGCCCACCGGCCAACCAGTGTGGCGTCTCACCAGAAAGAAAGTGGCTCTGCTGGCGAGAAGCTGGACCTCAGCAGAGGCAGACAGGCT